CTCCAACCTGAGCTCGCGGTGCTCGCGCAGGTCTTCCTCCCGCCCGGCGCTCTCTCGCTCGACGCGCGGGTCCAACTCGAGCGTTGGGGTGGCCCGCGGTGCGTCCGCAGGGGGCATCTTGCAGTCGCGTCCATCGCGAGAGAGGCCCTGCTCACCATCCCCCGCTGGTCTGAGGGGCTTCATCAGTTGCGTGCTCACTCCGCGGTGAACGGAGACTGGCGCACGCTGTGCACGCTTGCTTTGGGGCGACCTTATCCATCCTTCTGGCAGGCCTCCGCGTTTGTTGAGAACTTCGAGGCTGCGCCAGAAGCGCTCCGCAGGCTTGGTCAGCTCGGTCCTTTGGTTTATTGCGCCTCTTCTGCTGCTCGAGCTGCGATCCAGGACTCTGGTGGCCGCCGTCCACGGCCTCGGCGCGCTGCTCACCTCGGTCTGCGCCAGCTCGCCATGGATACGACCCCGCTGACGGATCTGTTCGCGACGCGGCTCCGCAAGTTTGCTGGCCGCTCGAGGCACGTGCTTGCCTCCGGTGACTGGCCACTACGTCTTGCCATAATCCGTCGGTGTCCTTGCTCATGGGCATGGGCTGCGCTTCCGACATGGTGTGGCGGCAGGGTGACTAGTTCCAGAATCGTGTCGCCCCGTGGCAGGAGGTCTCGCGCGCGTGGCTGCATTGGCATGGTCGACTCATTGCGGCACTACGCTCGATGCCTTGTGCTTCATCGTGCGCTACGTCGAGCTCTGGCGCGGCCGTTCCCACCTGATTAGCTCTCGCGGCGGGGCCGTCGCTATCCTGCGCGTTCCACCTTCGCCGCGCTCCCCAATCAGATCGCCCCCAATCAGATCGCCACCGTCGCTCTCGCCAGGGTCCGTGCTATGATGCTCGCCGCCCCATCGGGTGTCGCTGACGATGAGAGGCTAGCCCTTGGGCGAAGGGACTAACGCGTTGCGTCGTCTTCGTCTTCGACCTTTTCGCGCCCGTCCTCCCCGCGCCTCACGCCAGCGGTTTCTTCGTCGCCCCCCCACCCCCCCCGCGCTTTCGGAGGCAACTGCGGGCGCCGAGTTGCGACGCGGCCCGAGCGCGTTGATTTGGCGGGCGCCCTACCTATCTACTCGTCTTACTGGCCGCTTGCAGGATGCTACGCTGTCTCCCTCGCCATCTCCGTCGACGCCCTTTGCAGCAAGTTCCTCCCCTGCGATTTCGGGTTCTGATCGCGATTCCACCCCTCCGCGCGAACGAGGTCGTCGGCTCGTTCGTCCGCGCTGCTCATCGCGGCCCTCATCGTGGTCATCGCCTGGCGTGAGATCGCCATTCCCGGCTGTGTCCTCGGGCTCTGTCTCGCCGCGCGCTGGGGCATTCGCGCGCGACTTCTAGCCGGCGGCGTTAGAACGCGAGCCCCGTTCTCTCATTCGGGCTCACCGTCGCCGCGCGCTGTAGGAAGGGCTGCCAGCGTAGGTCGCCGAGGCGTTAGATCGCACGTCCCGTCGTCGTGCTCTGGCTCAAAAGTCGCCGCGCGCTGGAGGGCCCATCGGTGGCCCTCCCGCCACCGGCGTAAGATCGCAAGCCCCGTCGTGTTCGGGCTCGGCGTCGCCCCTTGCTGGGGGAAGTGACGGCATCGCTGATGCTCGCGGCGTTAGATCGCAAGCCCCGCTGCAGCGCTCGGGCTTGCAGGCGCCGCCTTCTGGAAACAATTGCGCCAGAACGCTGGCCGCGACGCCCACCTCGGCATCGATGACCTCGCGCGGATCGGCGGCGCTCTCTCTGCCGGCGCCCACGTGCCCGAGCGTTGGGTTCTCGACCCCATGGGCTTGGAGGGGTCGTCTGACGGCGGCATCTGCTCCCCCAGTTTCGCAAGCGCGCGCGCGCTCGCTGCCGTCGGGGGGAATGCCTTCGACCGCGCCTGCCTGCCCCCCGAGCTCCGAGCTCCGCGAGGCCGATCTTCTCCTTCTCCCCAGCCCCGTGGTCTCGATGCACATCCAGGCCGAACTTCCTTCAATTTTCCCGGGGTTGTTTGTCTCCTCTTCCGCCCGTGCCCTTCGTGCCTGCTGCTGCTGCTGCTGCTGCTTGACTCCCTCTCGCTCCTCGTCTCCTGGCTGCCGCGCCCTGGCCCCGTCGCCGGCCGATCTGGCCGCCAGCATCATCCCGACGCCCCCATTGCTCGCTTCCCTGCTCATAGTGCGCGGCTTGTTGTTCCGTCAGCGGCCGCGATTGAAGCGACGTGCAATGCGGCCACCCGCTCGCTCGGCACCCGCTGGCAGGGCCCCGCCGTCTCTTCTGGCGCGGCCGCCCCTGCTGCCGCTGTCTACGCGCCCCCCTCTCCCTCCTCCCTCGAGTCTCTCCTGCTGCTGCCCTCTGCCGTCTCCCCTGGCCTCTTCCCCCATGCTTGTCTCGCCGCCATCCGTCGGTCTCGACGCTGTCGCATCGTCTCTCTTCTTTTTTTGTTTCTCTCTCTCTCTCTCTCTCTCTTTTTTTTTTCTCTCTCTCTCTCTCTCTCTCTCTCTCTCTCTCTCTCTCTCTCTCTCTCTCTCTCTCTCCCCGTCGGCCAATTCGGTTGGCGGCCCCTGCCCCCTTTTCCCCCCCTCCCCCCCCCCGCGCCCACGGGGTTTGAGATGCTGGCCCCCCCCCCCTCTCCCCCTCGGCCCCTATGCCCCAGGATCCTGAAGAATACCTAGAAGCTCTGGGCCGCGGCCTCGGTCGGGCCCGCGCGGGTCCTCGGAGCGGCGTTGCATGAGTTTGCCGCCATTAAGATTTCCGCTCGCGCGCGGAGGGTCACGGAGTGGATAGCTGGTCTGACAATCAAGATCACCCAGCGCACGGGCGCCCCCCTCTTCGGCCCCACCTCGGATGCTATGATTTTGGAAGTTCGAGGTTTTCTTAGCCATCTGGCTCCTGTGTGAGCGGGTTTTGAGATTGATGGATGCACGTTGCACTTAGGCCTTCGGCTTGGGCCGAGTGCGTCTGTCGAGCGATGTTGGCGAGAACCCATTGCCAAAGTGTGTTCTCGGGCGCGGATGCTCAGCCGCGGTGGCGCGGCTGCCGGTGCCAATGCGATGCTGCACCGCGCGCGCGCGTCCCGCCCTCGCCCGTGCCCTTCAGTTCGTGCCGATGCCCGTTGAGTTCCCGACGGTCTAGAGAGAGGTCCATTGCACGAGTTCTAAGATGCCCGTTTGGCATGCTCAGCAACGAGGCGGTTCCCGAGCTGAAGTTGCGGGGTGGACTTGCGTTGCCGGCTTGGTCTGATCATGTTGCCGCTGCTCGTCTGCGTTCTGTTTCTTGCGCTTTCTCGAATTTCGCTTCTTGCCGGGGCGCGATGTTTCAGTGCGCTGCGCGCTGGCACAGGGAGATCAGTGACGGGCTCTTTGACGATGTGCTGCTGGATGCCAATCGACCGTGCCCGCATGTATCCACGGGTATGTTCAGCTCCTGCGTCCGTGGAGAACCTCGATGACATCCTCGACCATGTTGATGACGAGCGGGCTGCGCACGCAAGGGGGGCCATCCATGGGGAACTCAGAGGTGAAGAGCGACGTCCCCGCCCTCAACGAGCTGCAGTCTCTATTCTTACCCAGCGTCGGATTGAGGAAGGTGCGCTTGGATCACCAACTCGGCGGTCACTTGCGAGTTTGCACAAAGATTGCGTAGCCATCTTGGAACGAGTGCTGCGGGATCCTCTGCGGCAGTTGTTGTGACTTACCCCCCAGGGTTGGGCCTTGGCGATGGTGCGCGTTTGGAACAATGGCTGGCTCACTTCCTATAGAAGGCTTCATGTTGGGACACGTCTGAAGCGTCGCTCTGGCTACAACTATCCTGACAGACTTGCGAATTTGTTTGCGCGCCCGCATCTACTCTGCGCGGGGAGCACTGGCCTCGAGAGGAAGCCCCCAACGCGTCTAGCGACTCGTCTTGCACTGGCGCAGCCGAGCATGGAGCACATCGAAACAACATGCGTGACGCACCAAACCTTCAACCTTGCAGGATAACATGGCGGCCTCACTCATGCTGAGAAATTGCGTTCTCCGGTCTTTGAATCCATCCGCTGTATCCGTCTAGACATACCAGCCAAGGCTTTCAAGGAATGGCCGCCGCCTTCAGCGATTGAAGACGATTTGGTTCCGTTGATCTGCTCCACCTCGTCTCCGACCGATTCTGACTCTTTGGTGGTCGCGTGAGTGCCTTGCCCCTGCTGGGCGAGCCGCAGGTTCCGAAGCAGGACGAAGCCCGTCAACCATGGCCGTCGTCTCCGTCGGTGGCCGGCAAATTGCACGGTCAAGTAGCCGCAGACAGAGTTCGCATGGATACTTCAAAGTGCACTCTAAACGGGGGTCGCGTAGAGTGCTCGTCGAGAGAACGCGCGCATGCCATGCGCGTATGCATGGGCGTCTAGCGCGCACGACCGACGTTGGGAAACATGGCCATGCGTGCTGGATAATGTGTTCTTGAGTGTCTCCGTTCCGCTGCCGTTTTTGGGCCGAACCCCAAAACTTTCAGACGGCTGTCTAATGTTCGGCCCGCTCGCCCAAGTCACCTCCGCTTCATTTGCAGGGAGCTGGCTGGGCGGCGTGGTTCGACCGTGCTTGGGCGAGCGCAGCTGCGCCTGTCAGATCAACTCGGACGAGGGACCGCTGCGGCCCAGAGCACCTGCGCCCGAAGTGCCCGAGCTGCCCATCGTGGCCGGCGCCGACTCCTTGCCCGCCGCACTGGCCGACAAGGCTGGGCGGCTTCGTCGCGGGGGTGGCCTCGACCGTGGTGTTCGGCCTCTGCATCAGGCGCTGCGGCTGCAGGGCGGGCGCGGCGACCCGGGCGGCGCGGGCCCCCTCGCAAGGCTCGGCGCTCGAGCTTGGGGGCGCGCCCCACGCCCGGCCAGCCGCAGGCGCGGCCCCGCAGGCCCCGGCCCCGCCGTCGCCCGGGGCCGCCCTCGCGCCGGGCGGGCTCCGCGGGCGCGCGGCGCGCGGCGCGGGCGTGCTGACGTTGGGCTGAGGCGCTCGCCCGGTAGGGCAGCGCCATGGCGACGCTCCCGCCTGGCGCGTTCGCCTTCGTGCAGTATGACGATCCAGCCGACAATGGACTCTGGCACGAACGCTTGATCATGGGCTGGATCGCCGGGGCAGAGTACGTTGTGATGGCGCCGGACGGGGGCGTCTTCACAGAGCAGCTCGACTCCGCCAACCGCGACCTCTCGGGAGTGCGGTTCTCGCCAGCGACAGGAGGCCTCCCTGCCGGGCTTGCAGGCGCGAGGCTCTACAGGTTCGCGGCCCAGCCCGTCGGCGCCGATCTGGCAGCCCTGCTTGCCGAGGGAGCCTCTCGCGCTCGCGTGGAGCGCCAGGCGAGGGGCCTGGCTCAGCCGCCTGGCGCGGGCGCGGCGGGCGGCCCTGGGGGCGTCGCCCCAGTCGCGGTCCCTGTGCCCCTGCCGGTGGCGCCGCCACCGACCGCGCCAGGGGCCCCGTCGCCGCCGCCGCCCGGCCCGAGGCTGGCGCCAGCGGGCGGGTGCTGGGTATTTGATGTGCCTGAGGCTATGCACGCAGTCGGGCAGGAGTTCATGTATCCCGCTGGGGCGCTGGACTTTGGGGGCCGGGTGTTCGTGACCGTCGGGAGTGACATCGCAACTGGCTCCTTCGTCGCCGCCGACACGGACTTGGACGTGTGGGCTGCGGAGCGCCAGCTCTTCCTGATGCGGGGCGAGCCCCGCCTCCTGCCGCGCCGCCAGCCTGCTGAGCCTATCCCCTTCACCACGGACGCCCTGCTGCTGCGCAGGGATGCTCGCACCGAGATCCGCCTGAAGGGGCCGCCCAGCATGGGCGACGCGGTGTCGGCGCTGCAGGCGCGGAGCCCTGGCGGCTTCATGGCCTCGCACGAGCGCTGGCTGGTGGAGAGCCGCGTGCCCGCGTCCAGTCGATTGGCTCACGAGCACAGAGTGGTCTCGAAGGCGCTGGAGCTGGCGCGCGCTGTGGACGGGGTCAATTTGGCGAATCTGACCAGTATGGAGTACCTCAACCGGCGGCGCCAGCTCCTTGAGGAGGCGCACAAGTCCGATCCAGATAAGCCGAACTTCGAGGGGGCCCACTACTTCCTGGGAGAGGATGACACAGGGTCAGGCACGCTGGTCGCCCCGAGCTTGCGCTCGCATGTCGCGGGCGAGTTCGCAAAGGATGCTGCTATCGAGAAAGAAAAACGGAAGGCACGAGAAGCACGGAAGCCACCCCCGAAGGGTGGCACTAAAGAGTGACCGACTTGAACCTCAGCGGCGCCTCAGCTGGCGGCGCCGCTGCGGCTTGCAAAGACCAGCAAGTTTTTAGAGAGGGAGCGGCTCCACCGTGGGCCTGGCCGGACTCCCTGCCGCCCGTCATCAGGCCGCCGCCGGGACAGGTGAGACCGCCAGGCTGCTTGAGCGACCGTTCCCCCCCCCCCGCTGCTTGACAGGCTGGAGGCCGATTTTGGCGGCGCTGGACGTGCCCGCTCTGGGCAGCGCCGGAGATGCATCCGTCGGGACGTGTTGAGTGATGTGAATGACTCGCTGAAGGGGCCTCAATGCTTTGTACGGCTGCGAGCGCTCCTCGGTCAGCGTGCGCACCGAGGCGCAGAGACTGACACAACGGAGGTTGCTCCGTAGTGCTCGCGCTGCCCGGCAATCTTTTCCTGACATATTTACTATGAGTCCCCGTGAAGCTGCAAGTGGGCTTCTGGGATCGCGCTTAGACTACCAGGGCTCGGTGACTTCGGTTGTCCCGCATTGCGCCGACGCCCTCTCGTTGCCCCCTGCAGGACGTCAGCCCGTCAGTCTTCGAGGCGTCCTTGACTCGGATGCCGCGCGCACGCTGTCACACTTTCAAGAACTCCTGGCCGAGCCTGAGGTCAGACAGGCTCGCCGGGAGGGGGATCCCGTCAGACCCTACATGGATGAGGTGCTGACGAGAGACCGATCCCAGTATGTGCGTTTTTTGGGGCAGCTCGCGAGCTGTAATGTGCTCACCGCGACCTCGACTAAGAAGGCGTCTGTCAGCCCGTTTTTTGTTGCCCAGAAAACCGGTAAGATCCGACTCGTGCTTGATTGTCGCGAGGCAAACCAGCATTTTAAACACTCTCCTTTCACAGAGATTGCTGCGGCTGAGAGCCTCAGCGCGTTGGAAGTACCTGAGGGCAGGTAGTTGTACAGTGCATGTGCGGATCTCCAGTGTGCTTTCTATCAGTGTGGTGACATTGGTGATCTGTGTCAGTACTTCTGCCTCCCAAAGGTCAGCCGTGCCGAGGCTCTCCGCGCAGGCATCCTGGTGAAGGATCCGAATGACGCGAGCGAGCTCGTCTACCCGGCGATGCAGGTGTTGCCGATGGGCTGGTCTTGGGCTTTTTGGTTCGTTCAACGCCTACACCTCGAGGTCGTCCGCAGGTCTGGTGTTCCATCGGCTATGGTTGCCACTGGGTCTTGGCCGCTCCCGTCGGTCGTCGAGGGCCCGATCGAGGTGCCCTACTCGGACAATGTCAACGCGTTTGGTCCCTCGCGCCGTGCCGGGCGTCCCTGCAGGCCTTCTTGGACAATCTTGGGCGTCTGGGAGTCCATAGTGGCTTGCTTGAGGCAGCAGTCGGGGCCACGTTGGGCTGCCTGGGCGGCCTTTCGGGCTTTCTTGGGCTTCTCGAGGCTCCCTTGGGCCGTCCTGGGCCTCTCTGGGTTGTCTCTGTGGCGCTCGGGGTGCTCGTTGGCCGTTCTGGGTTGCATCTGGATCCGTCCCAAGCAGTCCTACAATTCTATGGGGCCCTCTGGACGTCGCCGATTGGAGCCCTGAACCGCCCTGCCCCCCTCGTGCTGGAGGTGGAGCCCGCGCGGCGCGCACCTGCCCCCTGCCCTTCCCGCCCCCCTCCCGGGGGGTCGCGCTGCGCCCCCCCGAACAGGGGGGTCGCGCTAGGCCTCCCTGAACAATTAGCCAGGCGAAGGACCCAATTATATGCAGTTGTGAATTCCGCAATTGTGAATGCCATCTTCGCCCGCGCCCTCCGCGTGGCCACGGCTTCCCGCCTGGGCCCGACGTGCTCGGGGGCGCGTTCGCGGCCGTCTTCGCGGACGCCGACGACGACGAGGACGGCGCCCCTCTGACCGAGGAGCAGAAGCAGGAGAAGGCTCTGAGAGCCACGAGGAAGGAGGCGGCGTTGCACGTCGACAAGGCGGAGTACGACGCCCAGGCGCGGATGTTGAAGCAGCACAATTATGGGGCCACGGTCCTCGTGAAGGGTGTGCTCGAATGGCGCGGGGCCGCCATGCGAACCCTGCCACTGGCGCCTTCGGTGGAGCTCCTATGGGGCCACGCTCGTCGTGAGAGGTGTGCCGAAATGGGTCGAGGCCACAATGGGGGCCCTGCCACTGGCGCCTTCGGTAGGGCCACGATCCTCGTGAGGGGTGCGCAGAATTGGCCCGGGGCCGACATGCGAACCCTGCCACTGGCACCTTCGGTGGAGCTCATATGGAAGCACGATCCTCGTGAGGGGTGTGCCGAAATGGCCCGAGGCCGCCACGCGAACCCTGCCGCTGGCGCCTTCGGTGGAGCTCCTATGGGGCCACGATCGTCGTGAGGGGTGTGCCGAAATGGCCCGAGGCCGCCATGCGAACGTTGCTACTGGCGCCTTCGGTGGAGCTCCTATGGGGCCACGATCCTCGTGAGGGGTGTGCCGACATGGCCCGAGGCCGCCATGCGAACGTTGCTGCTGGCGCCTTCGGTGGAGCTCATATGGGGCCACGATCCTCGTGAGGGGTGTGCCGACATGGTCCGAGGCCGCCATGCGAACTTTGCCACTGGCGCCTTCGGTGGAGCTCCTATGGGGCCACGATCCTCGTGAGGGGTGTGCCGAAATGGCCCGGGGCCGCCATGCGAACGTTGCTACTGGCGCCTTCGGTGGAGCTCCCTATGAGGCCACGATCCTCGTGAGGGGTGTGCCGACATGGCCCGGGGCCGCCACGCGAACCCTGCCGCTGGCGCCTTCGGTGGAGCTCCTATGGGGCCACGATCCTCGTGAGGGGTGTACCGAAATGGCCAGAGGCCGCCATGCGAACGTTGCTACTGGCGCCTTCGGTGGAGCTCAGATGGGGCCACGATCCTCGTGAGAGGTGCCAGAATGGGGTGTATCTAAATGGGGCGGTACCGAGATCGGTGATGCTGGTGATGGCGATGATGATGATGATGGTGATGGTGATGATGATGATGATGACTAGGGCAATGATGTTGAGGATGATGATGATGGTGTTGTTGTTGATGATTATGTATGATCATTTTTTGATGATGATGATGCGAGGAGGGGGGAGGGGGCAGCGTGGGGAGGAAGGAGCGCGGGGCGCTGTCTCTTCAAAATTAGCTTGGCGAAAGACCCAACCATACGCAGTTTTGACTACCGCAATTGTGAATGACATCTTCGCCCGCGCCCCCGATGTGACCACAACTTCCCGCCGGGGCCCGACATGCTCAGGGACGCGTTCGCGGCCGTCTTCGCGGGCGCCGACGACGACGACGACGGCGCCCCCCTGACCGAGGAGCAGAAGCAGGAGAGGGCTCTGAGAGCCATGAGGGAGGCTGCCACGTGAGGGGTGTGCCGAAATGGCCCGAGGCCGCCATGCGAACCCTGCCACTGGGGCCTTCGGTGGAGCTCCCTATGGGGCCACGATCCCCGTGAGGGATGTGTCGAAATGGCCCGAGGCAGCCATGCGAACCCTGCCACTGGGGCCTTCGGTGGAGCTCCTATGGGGCCACGATCCCCATGAGGAGTTTGCCGAAATGGCTCGAGCCGCCATGCGAACCCTGCCACTGGCGCCTTCGGTGGAGCTCCCTATGGGGCCACGATCCTCGTGAGGGGTGTGCCGAAATGGCCCGAGGCCGCCGTGCGAACGCTGCCACTGGCGCCTTCCGTGGAGCTCCCTTTGAGGCCACGATCCTTGTGAGGGGTGTGCCGACATGGCCCGAGGCCGCCATGCGAACGCTGCCACTGTGGCCTTCGGTGGAGCTCCCGATGGGGCCACGATCCTGGTGGGGGGTGTGCTGAAATGGCCCGAGGCCGCCATGCGAACGCTGCCGCCGGGGCCTTCGGTGGAGCTCCCTGTGGGGCCACGATCCTTGTGAGGGGTGTGCCGACATGGCCCGAGGCCGCCGTGCGAACGCTGCCACTGGGGCCTTCGGTGGAGCTCCCCACGGGGCCACGATCCTCGTGAGGGGTGTTCCGAAATGGCACGGGGCCGCCATGCGAACGCTGCCACTGGGGCCTTCGGTGGAGCTCCCTATGGGGCCACGGTCCTCGCGAGGGGTGTTCCGAAATGGCCCGGGGCCGACATGCGAACGCTGCCACTGGGGCCTTCGGTGGAGCTCCCTATGGGGCCACGGTCCTCGCGAGGGGTGTGCCGAAATGGCCCGGGGCCGCCGTGCGATCGCTGGCACTGGGGCCTTCGGTGGGGCCAAGATCCTCGTGAGGGTGTGCCGAAATTGCCCGAGGCCGCCATGCGAACGCTGCCACTGGGGCCTTCGGTGGGGCCAAGATCCTCGTGAGGGTGCGCCGACATGGCCCGAGGCCGCCATGCGACCGCTGCCACTGGGGCCTTCGGTGGAGCTCCCGATGGGGCCACGATCCTCGTGGGGGGGTGCCGAAATGGCCCGAGGAAGCCATGCGAACGTTGCTACTGGCGCCTTCGGTGGAGCTCCCCATGGGGCAACGAAGCGCTGCACTGGGTGGGTGAAACGCAGGGAGGAAGGAGGAGGAGGAGGAGGAGGAGGAGGAGGAAGAGGAGGAGGAGGAGAAGAGGAGGAGGAGGAGGAGGAGGAGAGGAGGAACACCCAACACCACAGGATGGTTGGGAACAAGGACCCCACGCCACAGGATGGTTGGGAAACACGTTCTCGGGGAGCCCTAGGCGATTTGGAGATCATTGTGGCCCGTTCGGGGTAGCAATCGGGGCCATGCTTGGCTGTTTTGGCGGCATTGGGGGCCTTTTTGGGGGTTCCCTTGGGCCGTTCTGGGCCTCTCTGGAAGCCCTGTTGGGTTGTTTTGGTGGTGTTCGGGGCTCTCGTCGTGGACCGTTCTGGGCTGTCCCTTGGGCCGTCCTTAGCGGTCTTGCAACTCTGCGGGGCCCTATGGACGTCACCTCTTGGAGCCCTGCCTCCCTGCTGGATGGAGTTGGGGCCCGTATAGCTTGCACCTTGACCCCCGCCCCCCCCCCTCTGCGGGGTCGCGCTCTAGGCCTCCCTGTAAGCCCTCCTTGGCAATATTGAGCGCCTTGGGCGCCATTCACAGCGGTGTGGGCAGCAAGCAAAGGCCATGCTGGGCTGTCTTGGCGGCCTTTTGGGTCTTCTTGGAGCTTCCTTGGGTCGTCCTGGTCCTCTCTGGGAGCCCTGCTGGGCTGACTTTGTGGTGCTCGGGGCTCTCGTGGGCCGTTCTGGGTTGCTTCTGGGGCCATTCCAGGCTGTCTCACAACTCTCTGGGGCCCTCTGGACGTCACCTCTGGGGGCCCTGAGCCGTCCTGCCCCCACTCCCTGCTGGAGACGGGGCCCACGTAGCGCGCTGCCCCCCCGCCCCCCCCGCCCCCCCTCCTTTGCGCCCCCCCCCGGGGGATCGCGCTGGGCCTCTTTGAAAGCCCTCCCGGGTAATCTCAGGCGCTTTGGAGACAAGTTTGGCGTGCTTTGGGTAGCAATCGGAGCCATGCTGGGCTGTCTTGGCTGCCTTTTGAGCCGTCTTGAGTTTTCGTGGACGTCGTCGTGTCGATTCACAGCGAGCGCAAGTTCGTGGTGAGGGACTTCGGGGCCACGTCCAGCATCCATCAGCAGAGGTACGGCATATGCCAAGGCTGTCCGCTGTCCCCTTTTCTGTTCACCATTGTGATGACGACGCTTCTCACGGACGCGCACGCGCTGCTTCAGAGTCGTGCCGGACTGATACCTGAAAACCAGTTTGCGAGGGAGCTCGTGCACGCGGACGACACGTTGCTCATAGACTCCGACCCAGCCCTCGTTCAAGAGCTGATGCGCTGCATTGAGGAGTGCGGGGGCCAGTGCGGGCTACAGTTCAATTGGGGCAAGTTGGAACTTATGAAAGTAAGGGCCGAAGCTGATATTTTGGGACGCAACGAGGTCCCCATCCCAGCCAAGCAATCATTAACTTATCTCGGGGCGTCTCTTGCTGCGGACGGGCGCATAGGCACAGAACTGAGTCGGAGAATTGGGGCGGCCAGAAGTGACTTCAAGGTGCTTGCAAGAATATGGTCGCATTCGACTTTGAGTAGGAGACAGAAACTACGTATATTTAATGCTTGCGTTGTTTCCAAACTCACGTATGCATTATTCACTGCGTGTCTTAACCAGGCCGAGCGAAGACGGCTCGACGGGTTCCAGAATTATTGTCTCAGACGTATTTGCAGAGTCTCTCCGTCGTACATCAGTCGGGTGTCGAACCGTGCAGTTCGGCAGATCAGCCAACAGACGCCTCTGAGCCATAGTCTTGCGCGTAGACAGATGTTGTACATGGGCCATTTGGCGAGAAGACCAGACGAAGATCCAGTCAGAGGCTCGGTGTTTGAGCCGGGCGGTCTGGTTCTCAAGAGCCTTCTTGGGAAAAGGAGAAGAGGCCGCCCGAGACAGTCTTGGGGGCCCATGGTGCTGAAGAACTGCTTGAATGTTGCCGGCTCCCATGAGCGACTTGCTGATTACTTCCGCCGAGAGGGCGGTGCAGCTCGCAGGCGGGAGCAGGCGGTCAAGGCATGGGCGGCGTGCTGAAGGCATCCGTTTCCGTGCGCATTTTCACCCATTGCTCACGCGCTGTGGCCGGCGCAAGGCTTCTGTTCTGTTCTGTTGGGGCTCCCTTGGGCCGTCCTGAACCTCCTTGGGAGCCCTGCTAGGCTGTTATGTGGTGATCGTGGCTCTCGCGGGCCGTTTTGGGTTGC